AAGCCAGTGCGGTCCGCGCAAAGGCAACGCGCGGCCGCACAGGCCTCCTTCTGCAGTGACAGGCTTTAGTATTGTGGCCATAACTTTACAGATGTCCAAATTGCGATATCTTTACCTTTCTGGAAACTAGACACGAAGGGCTACAACTTTCGTTTTTGAATCACCTCAAATTCCTTGTGGATCAAAAGATATGAGCTTCCGAAGTAGGACCAGCAACCTGCAGTCTTCAGTGACCGTGGCCGCGGCCACTTTGACACGGTCAGCGCTAGGCCAGCGCGCCCAGCGTGAAAAGGAGCGCGGTCCGCGCCACAATTGTTGCCCCCTCCATTTTCTAAGTTCCGGGGTGTCCGTACTCGCTCAAAACTCACCCGGAACACGCCCGAGGCCCCCGGGACCTCAACCAAAAGCACCAACGCATCCTAAACATTATTCAACCTCGTTCCAATCATCAAAACACCTCGACTAACACCAAAAATCATCAAGTCACATCGAATTCAAGCCTATGAATCTCAAGAACTTCCAAATTCCATTTTTGATCAAAAACCCAACCAAACCACGTCCGAATGACCTCAAATTTTGCAGACAAGTCCAAAATGACATAACGAAGTTACATAAACTCTAGGAATTCCATTCCGACCCTCAGATCAAAATCTCACCTATCAACCAGAATTCGCCAAAATACTAACTTTCGCCAATTCAAGCCTACTTCTACATCGTACCTCCAAAACCACTTCTGATCACTCTTCTAAGTCACAAATCACCTCCCGAAGCTAACCGAACCATCGGAACTCACATCCGAACCCTCTAACACATAAGTCAACATCCAGTTGACTTTTCCAACTTAAACCTTCTTAAAAGAGACTAAGTGTCTCATTTCTTATTAAAACCACTTCAAATCAACTCGATTACACAAGATATGGATAATGAAGCATAAGGAAGCTGAAAATGGGGAAAACGGAGCGGTAACTCATGAGACGACTGGCCGGGTCGTCACAAACAGGTAGTCCTTAGCTTAGAGTAACAAGTTCAAAAGTTAAGGACATGCAGTCCTTAACTTTGAATTCCAAGTTAAAAAGTTAAGGACACTTGGTCGTGCACTTCAAGTTTCAAGTTCAAAAGTCCAGGACACTTGGTCCTAAACTTCAAGTTGTAAGTTCAAAAGTTAAGGACACTTGGTCCTAAACTTCAAGTTTTAAGTTCAAAAGTTAAGGACAGGCAGTCCTTAACTTATAGTTTTAAGTTCAAAAGTTAAGGACACTTGGTCCTAAACTTCAAGTATTAAGTTCAAAAGTTAAGGACAGACGGTCCTTAACTTATAGTTTTAAGTTCAAAAATTAAGGACACAAAATCCTAAACTTAGACTAACTGAAATTAATAATATTACCATGATTTCATTCTCAATTTTTTTTCCTGATACAGCTATTTTCCGATTTATTCTAGTAGCTTCAGCTTGCAGATCCTTCTTAAAACTCTCTAATAATCTCTGAATCAAAAAACATAAAAACAAAAAAGTCTCGTAAGCAAAAAATAATCAAATAAAAAACTAATGATATTCAAAGGCAGAAAACCTACTTTAACAATTTCCTTAAGCATGACTTCATCAAATTGTATGGAAGAAGGCATTGAGCTTTGATCTTGAGAAATTGGCTCTTCCACACTAATAGGCTATGTATCTTCTTCAACAGGAATAAATGGTGACACCTCAATCAACTTATACAACTATAATATAACAAAAAATAAACATAAGTTTTCAGAACTAAAACAAATAAACAAAAAAAAATAGCTAGTAATTAGATTAACTTACATTTTTATTATGGAAGTATTTTTTACACAGAGAATCATACTGTGGAGATTTTATTTCCGAATAACATAACATTCGAGGATAACCAGATTCTTGGAAGTTCACAAATTGTTTTTCCTGGAAAATAGGAATTACTTCCATAATCCAAACACAAAAGGCAAAAGGAAAGCCAAGTATAGTGTAGATATCCTTGTCTTTATCTTTGTCTTTCTCTTTCTCATTCTCATTCTCATTCGGCTTCAAACAACTCTTCAATGATTTTAACAAAGTTTCATAAGAAAGAGAGCCCCAGTTGAAAGACGAGCAGAGTTCATCATCGTCTACAATTCATTATCTGCTCGGACACATTCTTATTCTTCCGCTTGCCCATCAAAACAGATTCAACAAATTAAATTGTTGCCAACTTCATAGCATCATCATCGCTGCCTACAAATGATGCAACTGTACCATGTGGGTGACTAGTAATAAAATTAAACAAATCACCCAACTCAACTCTATCCTTTCTGGGGAAATATACTTTCGAAAGCCTATTCTCTTTTTCATGTAAACCTTTGATGTCCGATGAGGAATAGCACTTCAAATCAGTAATTATATAAAATGCATCACGTGTAAACTTAATTTCACAGTCAAAAACCTTGAATGTCATCGAATCAGGGTCATTATTTAAAGTTTCTGAAAGCAATACACAGTGAATAAGTTTACCACAGAACTTCACACTTTGTAATCGGAAAAAGTTTCCGAAAATACCATCCGTCAACTTCTTCCACTGCCTGTTTGACAAAAAACTTTTGATTTTTTCCTTATACTATAAGTCTCCTTTCCAAAAGATCATAAAATTATGTCAAACATCAAACTCGAACACACGATCTCCTTCCATTATCATACTACAAAGAAGGAAAAAGAAAATAAAGATTAGGACTTACAGTTAATTGGAGGGACTTGGTCCTTAACTTCAAGTTTGAAGTAAAAAAGTTAAGGACAAGCAGTCATTAACTTAAAGTTACAAGTTGAAAAGTTAAGGACAATAGGTCCGGAACTTCAAATTTGGAGTTCAAAAGTTAAGTACACTTGGTCCTTAACTTCAAGTTTCAAGTTAAAAAGTTAAGGACAGACAATCCTTAACTTATAGTTTCATGTTGAAAAGTTAAGGACACTTGGTCTTGAACTTCAAGTTTCAAGTTCAAAACTAAAGGACACATGGTCCCTAACTTTGAATTTCAAGTTCAAAAGTTAAGGACACTTAATCCTGAACTTTGACTTACAAGTTAAAGAGGTAAGAATAGGCAGTCCTTAACTTAGAGTTACAAGTTAAAGAGGTAAGAATAGGCAGTCCTTAACTTATAGTTTCAAGTTCAAAAGTTAAGGACACTTGGTCCTTAACTTAGAGTTACAAGTTAAAAAAGTAAAAACAGGCAGTCCTTAATTTATAGCTTCAAGTTGGAAAGTTAAGGACACTTGGTCCTGAACTTCAACTTTCAAGTTCCAAAGTTAAGGACACTTGATCCTTAACTTCAAGTTTCAAGTTCAAAAGTTAAGGACACTCAGTCCTTAACTTTGAGTTCCAAGTTCAAAAGTTAATGTCGTTTGGTCCTTATCTTTTATGAACACGGTTAACTAAAAATTCATAAACACAGTTAGCTTATGAATTCCTACGATTATTTTTATGAAATGTCCTTACAAAATCAAATATATTGACCCAAACATATTTCACATTTCAATACCAAAAAGTTCTGAATAACAGCATCACAAAAATGCGATACTTCTCCGATACTGAATCAACTTATAATGATCATTTTTGAAATTTCACACATACTTGACACATCATTGATCGCGATTACACATATACAAAAACAAAAAATGCATAAAAGAAAAAAAAATACCAGTTCAATCATTCGATGCAGAGAATATGACAGAGAAGATTAAGAAGGAGAAAGATTAACTACAACTCGTTTGCATGCGAGGATGATACAGATGCTGAGAACACACGAAAACCCTGAAATATTCGCTCTCAAATTTTCCCTCTTCTAAATGAATAAAACAAGGGTTTGAGAATATAAGAATTGAAGAAAAGATACAACTGTCTTTTTTCTATAAGTAGTGGCTATTTTTACTGAGCATTATAATTACTGGATAAAAATTAAAGACTGCCACAACACATGGCTACTATACGCCATTTTTACTATTTTTGAGGGACAAGCCCAAAACCTAGCTATTGGTCCTAGTTTGACTTTTCATTCAGAGGCCCAAAAGTTAGCTGAGTCTGCGGTTCTCCATTCAAACTACCAAAACCCTCTACGCCATTGCCAAATCGTGGCCTTTCTTCCTCCAACACAACCTCACATACATGGCATCATTGCCACCATTTCTATTTCCATCTCCATCTCCATCTAAACCCTATTTCAGAAAGGACTATTTTTCTTCTCACACATGAATACAGATTCTTATACAAATTTTATACATATAGAATAGTAGTATAGATGGACGTAAGAAGATTGAAAATTCCCAAAACGATTGCTATATTTTCACATATTAAACGTCCTTTGACCTGTGTGATTTATACTGCTTCTTCAGATCAAATTAGTGAGACATTACATCAAACACCTTCTAAGCAGCCTAACCCCAGCTCAGAAAGTAAACAGCAAAAGGTATTTGATTTGAATTTGCGCAAATGGGTTACTTCAGTTCTCTCAAACCCACATGTAGATTCGTTAAAGATTAAAGATTTGCTGACCCATTTGACTCCACTTCAGTTTGATGCTATTTTCTTGGAAATTCATTCATCTTTAAAACCATTGAATGCTTTGAAATTTTTCCATCTAGCGTCCGGTTCATATGCTTTTAGTTTCAGTGTTCGATCTTATTGTACTCTGCTTCGTTTGCTCGTTGCCTCGAATCATGATGATGCAGCTAGGGTACTTTTGATAAGGTTAATTGATGGGAAACTACCTGCATTGTTTGATTGTTCCCAACAGAAGCATTTAGAGGTTGCTGTTTCTTTAGCGGAGTTAAGTCGAGTGTCTGATTTTGCTGTTGCTGTTAGGACATTTGATCTTTTGGTTCATTTATGTTGTACCCAATTCAAGAATGTTGGGTTTGATGCTGCATTGGATGTATTCAGGACATTGGCGAGTAGGGGGTTGTATCCTTCTTTGAAAACTTGTAACTTTTTGTTGAGTTCTCTTGTGAAAGAGAATGAGCTTTGGAAGAGTTATGAGGTTTTCGGAGTTTTGAAGGATGGTGTTGAACCTGATGTTTACTTGTTTAGCACTGCAATCAATGCTTTTTGTAAAGGAGGGAGAGCGGACGAGGCGAAAGAGTTGTTTCGTGAGATGGAAAACATGGGTGTCGTGCCAAATGTTGTCACTTATAATAACCTCATTAACGGGATTTGCAGGAATGGTAATTTAGAAGATGCCTTCTGTCTGAAGGAAAAAATGATATTAAATGGTGTAAAGCCAAGTATTATCACTTATAGCATGCTTATTAATTGTTTGATGAAACTTGAGAAATATGATGAAGCTGATTGTCTATTGAAAGAGATGTCAAACAAGGGGCTTGTTCCAAATGAAGTGATGTACAATACCATTATTAATGGCCATTGCTCTGCAGGAAATATCCAGAAAGCTCTAAAGGTAAGGGATGAAATGTTAAGAAAAGGAATTCTCCCCAACTCGGTTACTTGCAATTCACTGATCAAAGGCTTCTGTAAGGTAAATCAAGCTAGTCAAGCTGAAGAACTCTTAGAGGAGATGTTGTTACATGGATTGAGCGTAAATCCTGGTTCATTTAGTAATGTTATCCTTGTACTGTGTACAAATTCTAGGTTTGTTTCTGCACTACAGTTTACTAAGGAAATGATATTAAGGAGCTTGAAACCAAATGATGGGTTGCTGACCACATTAATTGGTGGGCTTTGCAAGGAAGGGAAGCATTCAGAAGCAGTTGAGCTTTGGCATATGCTGCTGATGAAAGGGCTCACGGCCAATACAGTGACCTCAAATGCTCTAATTCATGGGCTTTGTGAAGCTGGTAACATACAAGAGGCTGTTCGGATGCTGAAAGTGCTGCTAGATAGTGGTGTTCAAATAGATAGCATGACATATAATACTCTTATGTGCGCGTTTTGCAAAGACGGAAACTTAGATGGTGCCTTTATGTTGAGAGAAGAAATGGTAAAGCAACGAATCGCACCTGACATTTCAACTTACAATGTTCTGCTACATGGGCTTGGCGAGAAAGGTAAAATAGATGAAGCTCTGTTGCTATGGGATGAATGTCGAAGCAAGGGACTTGTCTGCGATTTTTATACCTATGGGGCCTTAATAAATGGTTTGTGCAAAGCTGATAAACTTGGAAAGGGCAGAGACCTTTTCCATGAGATGCTCAGACAAGGCTTAGTCCCAAATATAATTGTTTATAACACCCTTATTGGAGCTTATTGTAGAAACGGGAATGTGACAGAAGCCCTTAAACTTCGCGATGACATGAGAAGTAGGGGTATTCTACCAAATGTTGTCACTTATTCCACTCTCATACATGGCATGAGTAATATCGGGCTTATGGAGGATGCGATGAACCTTACTGATGCAATGCGTACGGAGGGAGTTCCACCTGATGTTGTTTGTTATACTGCATTGATTGGAGGTTATTGTAAATTGGGTCAGATGGATAAAGTGAGGAGCATTTTGCAGGAAATGTCATCACACAATATACAACCTAATAAGATAACTTATACAATCATTATTGATGGGTATTGCCAAGCTGGTAAAGTTAAAGTAGCTAAGGAGTTTTTTGCCGAGATGTTACAGAAGGGAATCACTCCTGATTCTGTCACCTATAACGTTTTGACAAAGGGGTTTCTGAAGGAAGGGGAAGTAGAAGAAGCCTTTTCACTTTTAGATCGTATTTCCCTTACAGGAGTTGGTTTAGATGAAGTTGCATATACTTCCTTAGTTAATTTGCTTCCCCGGAGATCAGCAAGCGCTAACCAAGAATGAAATGAACTGACACAAGGTTCGGACACTCATCTGGTCAGAATAGTCCCAACCTCACGTTTCTAAAGACATAACGGAGTCATGGCAATGGCACACTTCTGCACACTGGGTTAGACTGTCATCTTTGAAACTTAAATGATTTGTTCTTCTCAATTATATCCTATTTCACCTATTCCTTCCTTTTAGGGGAAATGGGATTGTGTCAACATGTTAATACCCTTATATGTGGTTTCTAAGAGGTAGGGGAGCTGTCCCAGACAATAGTATTGGAGATTTGAATATTAGGTGGATGCATTAACATCTTCGACCGGTTTCAGCATGTTGCCACCTTAACCATCCTTCGTTCCTTTTTTGAACTTCTTGTGTCATCTAGTTGCATGGCATCTCATCTAGTTGCATGGCATCTCATCTAGTTGCATGGCATCTCATCTAGTTGCATGGCATTCAGTATTCATCTTTTATCATATGATTTTGCGTTTTCAATCTGCATGAGAAAGCCATGCATTTTTATCTTTTCCCTGTTTGCTTTCTGATCCGTTAATCGGGATAGTAACTTAGTGCTCTTGCATTGTCCTCAACATTAAGCAGTTATCTCAAAACTTCAGTGCTGAAAGATTTGTTTCACATTTTCAGTCCTTAAACCTCCAATAATTTTCGTCTCGTTGTGAGAATACAGAAGTCCCCTCATGAACTTACATTCTGTATTACTTTCTGTGGGAACTTATGTGAATGTTTTCATTGTTTTTATCAATTTCATTTCCTCTTCTAACATGTATTGCTAAATTCTCTTTTTTGCCTCTTTTTTTGTTTAATTCCTAGGAACTGACTCATCATCGTGGGTCCAGATTTCTTCCATGTGCTTTGAGTTAGTTTCTAATGCTGTGAAGATAAAGGATCCTGGCAGCTGGTGGATGGTTCTACGGTAATCTTTTTGTAAGCCTTTCTGATACATGTAGTATACTCCCTTTTTCTGTGCCGCCTCCTAAATTTTGTGTCTGTTTTTGCTCACATTTTAGATCTTTTCTAATTTTAGCTCATTTCTTTACTGATATAGGAAACAATTGATTTTCCAACTGGGGCTGTGAATACCCAAGCTGATATTAAGGTTTCATGAGGCCCCTGTTCCAAATACTATGACACCTTTTTAAAATTAGCACACCATCTTGGTGAATTATCAATGAATTCTCTATATTTTTTTTTTGGTAATTAGAGATTTTATATACCAGGGAAAAATAAGTATTTGCAACCAGTTCTAAAAACCCTCAAGGTAGGCAGGAATGTGCCACTCCACAATCTACCCTACTACAAAACTTCAAAATTTATAACAATCATAACTACTACATTCATAACTAGCAGAACTAAGGATAGTAATTCATTCTTCTCAATTGGCCTGCTATTCTTCTACTGCCTGCACCTCGAACATGTACGTCTTGAACAATCTGTCTCACCAGAGTAGCATCTTTTCTCCTTCTATCCTGAAATATCCGTTGGTTCCTTTCTTGCCAGATATAGTATGCACATCCAGCCAAACTCATTCTATAGATCTCTGGTTTGACATTTTTACCATTCATGAACTAGATTGCCCATGCTTGCTCATCCATCCACCCCATTGCCTGTCTATCAACACCCTGCCATCTAAGCAATTAATTCCATATTGAAGCAGCAAAAGAACACTTGAAGAACAAGTGGATTACAGATTCAACTTCTACATCACATAAAGAACATACAATTTTACCCGTTACTCCCCATTCACCGGTCTATCTCTGGTGTACAGCCTTCCACGGGCCACCATTCTCAGCAAAAAGATCCATTTTGGGTATCCCGTGTTATTACAAACTAGTTTCTTCCATGGTAACTTTTGAAACTCCCCCCTTAGCTTTATATACAACTTCCTGATAGAGAACGGTTGTATCTCCATTAGCTCATCAAAAGAAATGTCTGCTTGCTCCAAGAACTCCTTGGCTTTAAGGATTTTGTTTACCATCCACGATGCTTGTTTAGCACATATTCCCCAAAGAGGTTTTCCTTTTATATAATAAGTGTGAACCCATTGAATCCATAGGCTATCTTTCTTCTTACAGAGATTCCAGTAATGCTTACAATTTGCTGCTTTATTCCACAATGCTTTATTTGACACATTTAGTCGACCAACAGACTTAGGTAAACACACTTTGTCCCAAGACAATAAAGCTTTCTTGCTTAAGTCATTTCCACCCGTCCACAACAACTTCATGCATACAATCTCAACCAATGTAACAATCTTTTTTGGCAATACAAAAATTTGTGACCAGAAAGTCTGTATATAGAACAAAATACTTTTAATGAGCTGACTTCTCCCTGCTTAGGGCAAGTACATTGTTGTCCATAAGGTAACCCTTTCAACCATCTTGTCAAACAAAGGCTGACATTGCATTACTGTCAATCTTTTGAAACTTAATGGCACCCCTAAGTATCTGACCGGAAGTGCTCCTTTAGGAAACCCAACAAGCTAAGAATCTCTATTTGAATATCCTCGGGCACCCCTCCAAAGAAGATTGAGCTTTTGGCCTTCTTAACTATCAATCCTGAAGCCAATGAAAACTGTTGGAAACAATCATACATCAGTTTGACTAATATCACATCACCACTGTGGCCCGGCAAAACATCAGAAGGTCATCAGCAAAGCCCAATTGCACTATCTGCATTTTACTACATCTAGGGGGGAAGTTAAAATCTGGCTTTTGTCTTAGGGTCTTCTATACTATTTGTAAATATTCCATTGCTAGTACAAACAAGAAGGGGGATAATGGAACCCCTTGCCTCAGGCCTTTCTTGGCATCAAATGGTGTAATTGGCCCCCCATTAATAAGAATAGAGTAAGACACTGTCTTCAAGCAACTCATGATCCATTTAACGAAAAGCCAACCCAATAAGTATTTGTTCTATGAACACCCACTCCAAGGAATCATACGCCTTTTGCATGTCTAGCTTCATCATACATCTAGGTGATAAACCCTTTCTTCCATACCCTTCAACTAGTTCATGCCCCATAATAATGCTGTCTGTAATGACTCTCCCTGGGACAAAAGCCGTCTGGCAGTTATCAACAAGATCATCCACAACTCCCTGTAGTCTTCTGGTTAGGATTTTAGAGATGATTTTATATGTTGTTGTGCAACAGGATATAGGTCTAAAGTCCTTGACAGTTGAAGGGTTCTTGACCTTGAGAATTAATGTCACTGATGTGCAGTTATGGGCTTAAACATCTCATTTGTATCAAGAAAATGTAGAACAGCCTGTGTAACTTCATCACCTGTAATTGGCCAGGCTTTTTTGAAGAAATATGCATTAAGCTCGTCACACTGGGGGGCCTTAGTATATATCATCAATACTGTTTAAGTGCTTGAACTACTTCCTCACTACTATCCTTTTCAAAACTACTTCCTCACTACTAATCGGACTGATTAACTGCTTCTGCTGATTTCTGTTAAGTACAGCCCATCTTGAATAACTGAGGATTAATTGTGGGTAAAGCCACCACTTCTTCCTTTATATCAGCTTCAGTATGTAGCAATCCCCCTTGAAGTGACTGTAAATTCCTAATGGAGTTCTGCCCACGCCTGTTCTTCATGTTAGCAAAGAAATAAGCAGAGTTAGAATCTCCTAACGCAAGCCATTTGATTCTACATTTCTGCTTGTATATACTCTCCTCAATTGCTCCCATTTCTCTAACTGTGATCTCAACTCCTCTTCTTCTATTAAATTAGCGTGTAACAGTTGAGTTCCCATTTGTTGTACCACCCGGAGATTTTTTCTTATTTCTTCTAGCTTCCTGTCTACCCTCGTAAATTGTCTTGTGTTCAACTTCTTCATATCTTGCTTCACCTCCTTGAGCTTATACCATATCTGCCTCATACACGCATTTGTACCAATACTATCCCAGCAATCCTTGATCAATGGTAAGAAGTCTTGATGCTCTGCTAGGAATTGAAAAATCTGAATGGCCTAGCACCCTTCCCCTGCCACCCATCAGGAGTAAGTTTTAAAGGGGAATGATCTGAAAAGAAAGGCTCCATCACTATCATTTTCCAAGTTGGCCATACATTCATCCATTCTGCATTCACTATAGTCCTATCGATCCAGCTATACACATTGTTGTTTGTCCAGGTATGGTCCCTACCATTGTATTGTAACTCAGTCAGTGTCAAACAAAAATTCTCTAAAATCTCTAACTCTGCTTCTTGTACAGGAGCCCCCAAATTGTCTATCCTCAGCATACAATATAGTGTTGAAATCACCCATTACCAGTCATGGGCCCTGTTGCTATGTTGCACGGACTCTCCAAAATGATGCCGCATCCGTGTCGGATCCTCCAAAAATGCACTACTTTTGGAGGATCTGACACGCATCCGACGATATTTTCGGAGAGTCCAAGTAACATACCCTGTTGTACTCCTGCTAGCTCCCCGAGTCTCTCCCATAAACCGCTTCTATCTTGTATTGTGTGGTATCCATATACAGCAGTGAAGTTAAACAACAAGTTGGTGCATAAATTCTCACCATTCCATGGATGCATTGAGCACTTATGTCTATTACATTAAAGTCAAAAACATTTGGATCCCAGAAGACCCAAATTCTTTCCTTGCTGGTACTTGTAGCAATAGAAATCCAACTCCATCCTCCTGCAATCTTAGCAATTATTTTAGCCTCCTTCATCGTTTTAACTCTATGCTCTAATACTGCTATCAACCCCATTTTATTCTCCCTTAAAAACCCATTTAGCTCCTTTTACTTATAGGACTTATTCATTCCTCTTACATTCCAAGTAATCAGACTCATACTGAAACGAATAGAGAAAGTGTGATATCCCCAGCTCCTATCTGGCTACTTTGTCCCCTTTCAAATGATTGACGACCCTGCAAAGTATGATTGACTGTTGGCTTAACTAATGGACTAAATCCATTCTTTGTGCCAATGTTTCCACCCCCATTACTCGGTACTTTATTTGATTTAGCAGCTGATTTCCCTGTAATAGCTTTCCACCCTTCGTTTGAGGTTGTTCATTGTTATTCTCTGGCTGAATAGGAAACCCTGTTTCCTTGGCTACCTTCTCCGGTTGTTTCTGTTGCTTTTGTATACCCTGTTGCTGAACATGTGTCACCTTTCGAATATCTGCTACTGATTCACTCCTTTGCCAAACCTGATTGGTGATGACATTCCTTCCTTTAGCTAGCTCAGGTTGAGGCTTCCTTTCTATCACTCTCTTACAATCATGCCCAATGGGTAGACATGATGAGCAATATTCTGGTTCCCAATCATAAACTATCTCCTACTCAAATATCTTTCCTCTAGAGTCCTTCACCTTTTTTGGCAGGGGTCTTGTAATGTCGACCTCAATTAACATTCGAGCAACGAGATATGAGCGACTGAAGTAGTACACTCATCTGCAAAATTGCCTAGGCCACTACCAATACGACTAAGAGTCCATATTCCCCAACAGTTAAGCAGCAAATTGGGAAATTTGACCCATAATTGCACAGTTCGTAGCACTTCATCATAGAAATTAAATTCAGAACTCAATGGCTTCATTATCACAGACCTATTGTTAATAGTTTGTGGACCAGAGAATAATACCTCATTCCTTTCCTCGTAGCTGCTGAACCGGATCACAAAATAGTCTTCATTGTGATAATTGATTGTGGTTTTTGAGCGAACCTCCATTGAGCGGTAAGGAATCTCTCAACAGCTCCAATTGTTGGTGAGTTGCCAATGACATACAAGATAATAGCATGCTCCCACTTCTTATTTTCTTCTTCAATCTCCTCTTGGTTCAATTCCACAATTATCTCCCCTTCTTGTATCAGCAGAGCTATGAAGTCCAGTTTCATTCCCCTTGAGGTCAGCTTATTCCCGGTGACAATATTGGCTCAGGTAGGAACACATTTGGTAGCATCAGTCTGATCAATCTTCATTATCTCTTCAGTAGGGGTCTCCTGCTGAAACTTATCAGGAATAGCTCTTCCAGACTCAGACCTAGGGCTTTGAGTTTCCTTCAATTGCATTACAATTCCACTGCCTCCGCTATTCGCAACCCTTGTTGTTGAGATAAGCTTAGTTATCCCCGATACAGAAGTTACTGTCCCTGTAGTGTCCTCATTCCCTGGTACATCACTTATAGCCTCCTTGCCCCTTATCGGCGGAGTGTGCTTGCCCTCATTGTTGTGGTTTGAAACCCCAGTTGGTGATTGAATATACCCTGTTCCAGATCGATTTTCCAATAGCTCAGGCTTCTCAATTGCTCTACGATTCACCTTTTCTATCTTCACTTCTGATAATTGAATTTTGTTCGCAGCTTTTTTCGTCTTGCCCCTAGCCATTTCCGGCCTAGGCGTACGGTAAGTTTCACCACTAACGTGCGCCGAGAGGAGAATTAGCTAGAAAAAATAAAGCTATTTATTTATTGTTTTCTTTTTTCGAATTCTCTAATTATCATTTTAAAAAAGGAACAATGATATGCTTTTGAGTGAAAGACAATTCTGTGTATCCACTTTGTATGAAAGTGACATTTTTTAAATTTTGATTTGTAGACTAATAAAACTTTATCAGTAGTGCCACCATAATCTAATGTCTGAAGTAAAGCTAGGTCTTGCAAATTGAAATTCAATTTAGATATGCAATCAAAAGTTTGCTGAAAAATGTTAAAAACCCATAAAAGATTCTTGATAATTTTTTTTATTGACAGTGTCATCTTCACATCTTTGTTGACTGGCATTGGACGAAAGTTTAGAAAAAATGGCAGCCCGGTCACTAAGCTCTTGCTATGCGCGGGATCCGGGGAAGGGCTGGACCACATTGGATGAAAGATAATGAGTTTTATTCCTTCTAGAGGTTTGTATATTCGTCAACCAGTGCTTATGTCAATACTTTTTGTTTTAGTGCAAGTTAGTATTACAAATAATTCTTCTTACATAGACAAGAAACTACCTATTTCTTTAGATAACCTGTTGTCACAGGTTGAAAATACATTGTCGGGATCTGATTCTAATGCCTCAAACTTCTCCCGCCACAGTATAGCAGATAAGTCGAAGATTGCCCTGGCCCCTGAGCACTTTGCTTTTTGTTGCTGTAACCAACTCCATGCCCTTGTATGATGGAGCAGACTGTGCCTAGAACTGCACTCGAAAAGCCAAGACCTACTTCAGCTACGGGGAATCTTCATGCAGATATGATAAAAATGGCAGGGCCACCTTACCCTAGGACCATCTCGGAGAGCATCGAATGTCACTACGTATCCATTCAATTAAATTAATTCTGCTGCATTTGTCACCTAAGAGATTGTGCCGTGTATGTTCTGCGCTTCATCTGCTATAGATGTCTTGCTTCATCAACACTTGCTTCTCCCACAGCTAATAGGTAATGCATTTTCTATGTAGTTAGCCATCAGTTCCTCGTGCTTGCATATACTTGTTCTTCATTGAGTAACCTTCCCATCTTGCAGCTCTTGTGGTCCTCCCAAATTACATTAAGGATAGTCTTCTTGATATAAGCTCAGAAACGTCTCTGTTTTTGTTGATACCATGTGAGGACGTTGCTTTTGTAGGCTCTCAATGCGTGATGCATCAATATATAGCAGTCGAGCAATATATTTGGGATTGGCATGTTAGCGGAGCACGAAACAGTTCCATTGATGATCTTGCAAGTAAGAGAGGCTTTTCAATTGTATCATACCGCATTAACAAAAACTTACTGAAGGAACTGGCATCACCCAAGGCAAAATGTTTAACGTTGCGGATACAACCCCGCATGCATAAGTGCGAGTTTGATTAAATTGGTAAGTCTTAATGGTTGGATTTCTTCCAGAGAGGACTGCTCTTTTTGCTACCACAACCAGGGCATCAGCATTGCCGTCTATGATTTGAGGCTGTATTGCTTGTGGATTTCTCATATTCGATCATCAAACAGATTAACTGTGAGAGACATTTGCAAGGAAACACTTCCGAGTCCTCAGTGGTTGATTAGATGTGGTTGTGGTTCCATAAGTGGTACATGTAAAAATTATGTAACCTAGAGCTCATAGAAAGGAGGCGAGGTGGCATCTACCACAGAGCTTATGATAGGACTCACTCACCATTTTCTGTATTTTCGATTACCATCTCAATGACTACCAATTGTTCTTAGTTTAGCAACTGACCTTTGGCTGCACCAGTGATATATACTGGTCTAAAGTCATCACATTTTTATATTCAGTTTGTATTGAGAAAAATGTAATAAGAGAAACATGCTGTGACAATGATATTCTGTTAGATGAAAATAGACGAGCCGGAGCTCAAAAGGCTACATTAAAAATGTTGAGGAAGTATGTCTTTAATTTAGACCAATTGGTGCTCATACTGAATGTTCAATGTCTATGCCTCACAGACTGCCCTTTTACTGGACCATAATGGTAACACATAGTCCCAATATAAACGTAATGCTTTGTTGATCGATCCAAATAGTGAAATTATAGCCTTTCGAATTGACTTAAACAGTAATCAAGCATGCTTTGACACGCTTAATTTTATGCGTGGTGTCATTGTGATGCAAGAAGAGAAGGAGAGCATCTATTTTGACCAGAGGAAGAGTTGCAAAATCAGTTAAGCAGCACACTGAAAGTTGATTAAAGAAATCACATAAGGGCTATTTGGTTATAGAGATTAGATAAAATCGATATCATTTTTATACTGAAATCTTGATATAAATTATCCCATATAGATTAACATATGTAACTTACATCTATAGCCTGCAAACAAGTGAAAAGTCCCGTTGGCCAAAAGGAAATGAAAAAACTACTATTCCCTCCGTTTCAAAAAAATTGGCTTGATTCGAAGTAGAAGTACGAAGGTCAAAGTACTTAAACTTTAACGGTAAATTTGAACATAAATTCTTCAAGTTTTTGTTTTATTTTCAAAAACTGCATAAAAGTATTGTAAGTCATAGTAATTCATAATTCAAAATATTAAAAAAATGTTCGTAAGCTTTCCAAATAATAATAGTGCAAATCTTTTTAAAATGGAGGAAACACAAATTAGTGAATTTTGAATAGAATTTATATACGCCGTAATATGGATGAGGTGACAGCCATGTTCCATGAGCAAACTATAAAAGGAATAGGGACAACTAAACATGTTTTATTTCAAGCGCTGTGTATATACTTTGTACAGAGAAAACAAAAAGTAAAAAGAATATAAGAACTACAAGAGCCTCGGGCGAAAAAGCCACTCATTTTTGTGATATAGTAATCACTAAGAGAAGCTAAATTTACATTAAAAAGGAGCAGTAGCAATGTCTCTAATTAAAGGATGTGACGAACTCTCTAATTCCTCATCTATCATAGTTTCCTCGTCCTTGTCATGTACACAATGCACAACTGGTTCCAATCCCTGTGAAGGCAAACGTATATTCAATCACTTCAATAAATTGAAATTTACAAACTAGCAACGTAAATAAAAGTATAAAACAAAATGCATAAAAAATTCTTTAGCCTAAAGCAAAGTGTTGTGGACCACGTATCTTTTTATTTATTGGCAAACTCGTCTAAGGTGGTTAACAACTAACAACCACGCAATCCAGTTGCGCCATGCAATTACACTACGTAAATAAACAAGAACAAAGACCCTTATTTTATCAGCTACCACTAAGGAAAAATAATAGTAGTACACGTAAACCTAGTCCTGTAGTATTCAGCAATATTGTATTTTCTCTCGCACTTTTTTTGTGTGGGTGGTATTCGAATTCTCCTTTCAATTAGTACCTAACCTTTACTACTACCATTTTGGCTCCTCTTAACACACACCCCCTTTCAACCCCCACACCCCCTCGACCATTTTTTGATATTCCCTCTATCTCAAATTATTTATCATCGTATTTATTTTTATAAACTCTTTAAAAAATTATTAATTTGAAGAAATTTCTAATTATTTTATCCTTATTTATATTTTAAGATATAACATGTCTTTATTGATGAATATTACTTTATTTATGTGCTATCTCCATCGACAATTACTACTAAGAATAAATGAAAAAAATACGTAATTTTGTCTTGAACTTCTAAAATGACAAATAAGTTGAGACAATTATTTTTAGAAATCACGACAAATAATTCGAGAAAATAGAGTAATATGCAACAGCAACTATTGATTTGTCGTTCAAAGTAATCTTAAGCTAAATGGTTTTCAACAATCATTGGTTATTCCAGTATAAAACAATATTCAGGAAGCAATAGTAAAACAAATACCAAACATAAAAAAAGTTTTTGATTATCTCTACATATATAAGGCTTGAGAATTGAGAAATTACCTCTGTGAAAATTCTCATAGCTTCTTCTAAACCTCTTGTATTTATAACGTAAAGTGCTGCATCCTGCTTCAAAAATCAAGAACCATTAACACTTTGTTTGAAGTTCAATATTATAAAAAAGAACTACTTCTAGTAAATCAATTTTGTTAGCAAAATGAGTGCTTCGATCGAGTTCCCATATGTGTAAGAAATCCGTTTATGGTGGAAAATAGGGGAAAGCAATGAGTTAAGTTATTTTTCAGATGCAGCAAAGAATAACTAGAAAAAAAAAGAGAGGAAAAGAATAAATGAATAAGGGAAGAGGAATTACCCTAGCAAACTGAATTTGATGAAGATTGAGAGTTCTAGGTTCATTCTCTATTGATGATTTCCTATCTAATGGAACCACTGATGTCCCTGCCATTTTTGCTCTCTATAGAACAAACTGATATTTGGTCGAATATTATGTTTCTGTTTTGTCGTCAAATATTCCAAAGTTCTGAAAGAATACTATTTGGTGTTATGATTGCTTTTCATGATCCCCTAGAGGCTTATATAGCTCCCACCCGAGC